GATATCCCACCCTACCCTAAGAGTCCCCTATCTTTGCATGGAGAGTTTGTCTTGATGTAGAGGTGGACTCTCAGGAAAGCGTGGGATATCCCCTCCACTTTGGCCTCAACTTGAGAGCGTTTTTTGAGCTTGGGAGTTGCTTTCAGAGAAAATCAGTGGCACCATCGTGTTTCTCGCCAACTTTTACATAAGAATCAACAGTCAAATCGCAAATTCCTCACACATGCAACATCTTTATTTTTAATTGCTGGAGAGAAGTTCTCAAACACCCAACGATTTAAAACACTTTAGAAAACCCCGACTTACGTCGTCTATAGTGATTTAACCCAACCAACATCATTGAATCATGGAACCCTGCGGATCACTTCACACCACAGTCAATGACTATTACATCAGACTAAGTAAGATGTCAGAGACTGAGAAGGGGTCACATTTAAGAGAAGAGTACAGCGACGAACAACAGATATGGCCAGACTACCTCGACTATATTGATGAATGGGATTACGCCTTCAAAACCCATTTCAGTTCAACGCGCCTCGACTACTGCCATTTCCTGGCCAAACATCGCCAAAAGATTCAATGCGACGGACACACCCACATCTTCACAGATGGTTCCGTCACAATACCTCAAGATGAAAGACCAGTCATACTCACGACAAAGGAGCAGCCCCTAGATTACGACGCCTGCTGGTTCAAGACCATCAGTTTAGAGGACACGGAACTTTCCAGTTCAGAAAGTTCAAACCCCGTGGCTCTGAACAGATCCGAAGCAGCCAGGCTCAAACATCTAGCTCAGTTGAGGATGATGCAAGCCGAAGGATTAACCTACACTAAACTAGACTTCGATTTATATAAGAAGACCTGGTGGAGTCAAGAATCCAGAGACTTAGCCTACAAGATCTTTACATCTTCCGAACAACGTACCCGGCGCCTCCACCATGTAATGGGGGGGGGGGAGGATGAAATGATCCGTACACTTAACTCGAAATGGTAGAGCTGATGTATATCTCGAAATAGAACGCAACAGTATACACGGGATGCACTATACTCTAGCTAGACGGCTAGATGCTCCTATACTCGCTGCCTCGTAGATACGAATGGATCCGCCGCGAATCTCGAGAGCATACATCCCGTAGCATCCGATGACGCGATGACGTCAAAGAGGTGATTGCGAGATACATCGGCGCTCCGAGATGGATACTCTAAACATCCAAATGCTCGCCTGAGCCCGCACTTGCGAAATCGATGGCCCGAATGAGCTAGAAAGCATAATGGAATGTGGCCCTAAAACGTAAGTGACATGGCCCCATTCTATTACACTATTGTCCTTATCTTTCCTAGGTTTTCTCGACTAAATCGAAATATCTTCCCGACTTTCTCTGCAAAAAACCCTCATATATTTCATTCTCAATTAGACGTGAATTGCAATTTTTAAAATCTACACCAATACTGCTGAAAGATCAGATTAAAGTTTTTAAATGTATATTAATCCATGTCAAGAGGGCATCGTTGTATGAATCAGATTGTAACACAGTAATACTGAATATTTTTCAGAGTTTCCAATAGCCGTCAATTTCTCATTTTCGAGGCACAAAAAAATTCATTTCCTAGTATCTTTTTGACTTAATCGGGGGCAGACCTGAGCCGCATTTGGAAATCCACCTGTTTAGGTATTTGAGTGTAAAAGTATGGCCATAAGAAAGTCACTAGTAAGATTAAATGTTCAAAGACGACGCATGCATGACCTCGGTTGCATGTCTATGGTTAAACTAGAATGCAGAGGATTAAAACTGGAAGCATGTTATGAAATGGCAACCGGAATACCCTGTTAAGGCTCTTTCAAAGTACTCGACACTTGTCAGGCAATTTTAGTAGACACCCATGACATGCGATACAAGAATCCCGGTATGGAAAGTCGGCGGTTTCCAAAACGCCTTCAATTGTGATGTGATACCTTACGCATTCCGAAGAGTACGAATAGTTGTATCTTTGCGCCGTGGCAATGCGATGGAAGATTGATTTGGAAGTATCCTCGACGCTAGCCTTGCCGGTTTTTCTTTGTCGCTATTGCAGCTTTGACAGCATAATTTAAGTGTGCCGAAGCTAAGATTGTACTTAGCGAATGGGTCATTTCTATAGAAAAAATAAAAGTAAACAAGCGGTAACAAATATAACTGAATAGGAACTCAAGACAAGAATCAACTTAAAGGTCGCGGAAATCAGGGTAGGGTAGGATATTCCCTCCATTTTGGCCTCACTTTGAGAGATTTTTTTCAGCTTGGGAGATGATTTCAGAGATAACCAGTGGCACCATCGTGTTTCTTGCGAACTTTTACATTGGAATCAATGGTCAAATCGCAATCCCTCACACATGCAACATCTTCATTTCCGGAGGCCGGTGACAGCACTTAATTTTTTTTGTGTTTTCAAAATTTTTTTCTTCCCTGTTCATTTTGCACAAAAAGGCACCACTCGTACACGCACTAAATTTCGGGAAAGTCAAAAATAAGGGCAACCCTAATGGACAGATATGTTTGTTTGTGAAGCCCACGTCATGTTAGAGGCTGCCCTTGACGTAAACGTATCTTGTTTTACAGTTCGTTCACTCGACACGACTTTCAACGAGCCACACGCACAGAGAGTGGTGGGGGGCCATCAAATCAAACAAAAAAAAGGGAAATTAAAAAGAAGAAAAAAATCACTATCGATTTCTCTCAGTTGCCGCGATCATATTTTAGTTCTCTCTCTCTCTTCCCCGTGCTCATTGCGTACATTATTTCAACTTCATACTTTAACTATTTGATGAAAAATTGACTTTTAAAGCTCGTTTTTTGGTTAAGCATGAGATAAATCTACTATTACGCATTTAACGTGTTGAAAATTGACAGTTAATATTCATTTCATACTTTGACTGTTTAATAAACCAGGGCTCATTTTTGGTGTAAAAATCTACCATACCTTTAACGTGTTAAAATTCAACATTTAACATTGGAAGACACGTGATCACAGATTTCACATTAGCATATTCATTTCATACTCTGACTATTTCATGTAGTAGGGCTCATTTTTTGTGTAAACATAATATAAATCCGCTACCATGCCTTTAACGTGTAAAAATTCAACATTTAACATTGAAATACGCGTGTTCACAAATTTTACATCAGCATATTCATTTCATACTTTGAGTATTTAATAAAGTGGGGCTTATTTTTGACGTAAAAATAATATAAATCTGCTACCATACCTCTAATGTGTTAAACTTCAACATTTAACATTGGAATACACGTGATCACAGATTTCACATTAGCAAATTCATTTTATACTCTGACTATTTAATAAACCAGGGCTCATTTTTGGTGTAAAAATAATATAGAACTTCTACCATACCTTTAACGTGTTTTTACGCATTTAAGTACTTGGTGTTGAAAATTGACATTTATTATATTCATTTTTGTTGTAAAAATAATATAAATCTGCTACCATACCTTTAACGTATTAAAATTCAACATTTAACATTGGAATACTCGTGATCACAGATTTCACAAGCTGATCCAACAGCTTGACGTATGGTTTTTTTTTTTCTTTTTCTTTTTTTTCTGAACATACACTGAAGTTAGAGGTTGACTCGACCCCAAGTGTGGGATGTGTGCGTAAGAGCCTGCGTCCGTGCGACATTTGCTGTTACATTTTGAAAATAGAACTCCATGAAACGCATCAAGGCATATTCACGCGAAATTGAATAGGTACGCGCGCAACATAGTGAGTGTTCAATTTCGGAATTTGTTTTCGAGTGTATTTTTTGTGTTTTCCTGGCCAATGGGGAACAGGATTAGATTTAAGCCGGTATCGTGAGTTCGAGGTTCATGGTGGCTACAGGTTGAAACTGAATCAGGTAATCCCCACTGTGAAACTATTAAATCAGTACTTAAAACTATGAAATTTCCTTAGCATCTCCATGTTCTGAGCTTAGTCCCCAAAATGTTAAATATATCGATCTATCTAAATGCGATTCAATAAAATTTTAATTTTTAATTTGTGTCCTTTACCGTGTTCCTCAGGAGAAAACTCAACCGTTAGTTTGAAAATGATTTTACTTTAAAACGAGCGTTCATTAATTGGTCCAAACTTCGCGATGAAGAACTACAATTTTTGACTCTTTTCCAGGAACAACGAACGTGCCCGATGCTATCGTGATGAGGAAAAACGCCGTATTAACATTCGAGAGTTGTCAAATGTCCCTCGATAAAACAAGTATTTTTGACGACACTCATGCATATTTTCCCTCGAAATTTTCAGATATTTCAGAATAAATTGCGTACGAAATTGTCTGAAAATTTTGGAGAGTAATACTTAAAATTTTCCCAGAAACTTCGGTTTTCATCGGAGGAAACTTGGCAACGTCTGATGGCCGATACGGCGTTCTTCCTTAGCACGGCAGCATGTAGATTGGTGGTTTCTATGAATGAGCCGGAAATTGTAGTTTAATACTGTCAAATTACGTGTGCCACTTCTCTCGGTATTTTTGACCTCTTCGACAGAAAGAGAAATTTCAACTCAAAAGTTTGGTTAAAACGAGATGTAAACCACAAAATAACCCTAGCCATTGGTTGACAATTTCAAGAGAAAATATCCGCTGGTTCTTTTGATGAGATTTAATAAAAAACGAGTGGTAAATATGAACGCCGTAATCGGAGAATACAGTTTTCCTGTCTTTTCATTTATTTCTACGCTAAATTCACCGTAAACTGTCCTAAAATCAACAAACAACTTGTGTTCGTTTGGGTTTCACTTCCTATATTTAAAAAAAGTGACACAAGAACCCAAATATTTCTATAAGTGTAAAACGGTTGTGACGTAGGTCCCTATCTAGTGATACGTAGAAACAAAATGGTGTAACACTCCTCCAGACTCCAGAAGCGTCAATGCCTCCGATTAATTTGTGTGAAACGAGTGACAGCGCACATTCTATGACGCAGAGCACCTCGTACTTCATGGATTCTGCAAAAAAATACTAATGCACGTGTGCTACCGTACACATCTCGCGTCCTTCTTAGTTGTTTGGAGGATTTTTTTCATTTCGTTTTTAAAGGTTGCCATTTTCGGAAGGTGCATTAGCCGTTGAAGTTCATGCTTAATGATGCAGGAAAGATTGTGAAAATGTTTTTAGACTTGTGTATTCCGAATTAAAATTTCAGGAATTAGGTACGTTTCCTGGTGCATTTTCTTTTCCCAGGATGTGAATCGTTAAAAGTACATGCATGTGCAATGTGTAAAACATATTGCTCGAACGAGATAATGAGATTTCAGGTTCCAAACCACGTATCTCGATTGCGATATCGTTGACAAATTCATTTTATCATAAATACTAAACAATTCTTGGTGCGAATTCAAGGAGATTCTCTGAAAAAGCGTGGAAGTGGCAGATCGACAGTGTAAGTCGGCAATCACACAACTCTGTTTGTGACGTCGCAGACTTCCTGTCATATACTTCATTTTTTGAACGGAAAACTAGTCAACAGCAATTCTTTAAAACTGCCGTGATTTTTCTTCTCTGTGCGACGAAAATTCTGCAAAAACTTCAAGGAATGATGGTCAATTTGTTATCCCTTAAAAAAATAACATAGAGGCGAATATTTTTAGACACCGCAAACGAGTTATGTGATTGCCGACTTACACCTTCGAAATGCCATACACTTTAATGATGAAAGAAGAGCAAACATTTTGAGACCCGGCAATCGCGATATACACCGATATAATCGTGCTTTCCCCCATCAAAATAATTGGAGGAATTGGAGAGAAATATCCCAATTTTTGTACATATCACATTTACCTTTTTTCTCTCATATTTTACTTCTTAAACTTAAACCAATTAAACTGTTGAGTTCCATTAACCTGTCTGTGTATGGGTTTGTTGCATGAAAGAGGTACAAGCCAATACATACACTGGAAAAAAAACACATCGGATCTGGAGTCCAGATTAATAAAAACATCGACAAGAAAAAATACTCTTGATTCGATCAGATTTAAGCTTAAATCAAGAGCCAGGCCTCTTAATTTGAGCGGATTTCCTTTTGATATAAGCTTAAATCTGATTGAATCAAGAGTCCTTTTTCTTGTCAATGTTTTCAAGAGTTGTTGTTGTTTTCAATGTTTTCAATGTTTTCATTACCAAAAAAAAGAACTCTAGAAAGAGAAATGTTAGAATCAAAGTTGTAGACCATCCTATTGTCCCATCTCCTGCTCTGAGATATCTTCGTGTCTGGTTGGACAACAACGGAACTTTCAACACCCACGTAGAAAAAAATCCTTGTTAAAGTGTCATCGGTTATCAGAACTTTCTCGTGTATTCTGCCAAATACAAAAGGCCCCTCTTTCCTGAAGAGGAAACTTATCACCTCTGCAGTGCTGTCCGTTGTCTTCTACGGGGTAAATATCTTGGCTGCGTCTCAAGTATCTAAGGCAAACATCAGGAAACTTACAAGAGCAATCCGCCCCATCAAAGCTCGTCTTTGTATGGCATACAGGACTGTTTCCTCAAGTCCCCTGGACATTATCAGTGGTATCCCCCCTATGGAATTTCTTATAGAAGAAAAAGTCAGGCTGATGAGCAAGGAGGAAGATAAAGCAGTTATTAAAGCTGAAACTCGACAAAAGTGGATAGAATCCTGGAACGCGACACCTGAGAAAGACAGCTGGCTTAAGCAACTTATAACAGATCCTGAAAGCTGGCTCACTAGAGAACATAGAGAACCAAATTTCTTTATCACACAGGCACTCTCAGGTCACGGAGTCTTCAATGGGTTCCTCCACCGTATTGGTGTTTCTACCACCGACTCTTGCCCCCACTGCCCAGTGATTTTCGACTCCCCTGAACACACTATCATCAATTGTCCTCAATTTTCATCAGACCGAAAGGAACTGGAGGACAAGTTAGGCGAGCGTTTCACTGTAGTTTCTTTCCAGAAGCAAATCACCGGCTCCAAAGAAAACTGGTCATCTATTGGAACTTTCCTGAAAGCATCCTTGACCGCCAAGAGGAAGACTCTCGACCAACCAACCCCCTCCGATGTATGCCAGACGGCAGTTTCCGGGGCCGCAAACGGATCTTAAACCTTCCTCTTCAAGGAAGTCCTGCCCTTAAAAACTAGCCTCTTATCTCTATTCTCTTGTTCTTTTCTATTTTTTTTTTGAGGCCTCAGTCCCTATGTCTTTACTTTTTTTATTATCAATTATGTTTTTCATTCATTGTATGAACAGAATTTTTTGTATTAAAGTTTTATGCGGCATATAAACAAAAAAAAAAAAAAAAAAAAAAAAAAAAAAAAAAAAAAAAAAAAAAAAAAAATGTTTTCAAGAGTCTGGACTCTAGATCCGATGTCATTTTTTCCAGTGTATCCTCTTTAAAGGTAAAATCGCAAAAAATCAAGTTGGACATGTTAATAAAGTCTGAAATCCACTCCTTAGTGCGCAATCTGTGTAGTTTGTAACACGCTTTTATAAGTTTCCCGCAAGTCGGGGTAGTTTTCCTTGCTTAGTTTTCCTTTTTTCTGGGTTCGCACCGACACAAGAGGAGTCAGAAAAGCAAATCTGAGTGGACAAACGATTTCGCAATACTCCCCGCATCCGCAGTAAATTTGAAAAAAACGTGTAAAAAACTACTCAGATTGCGCACTGAGGAGTATATTTCAGACTTTTTTGATGTGATCAACGTAATTTTAGAGAGAATTCACTCTCAGAAAGCATATTCACTTGGCTGTGTCTACTTGCGTCCCCCATACCCATTTATCCTAAGTTTTGGAGAGAATTCTTACAAAATTTTAGTTTTCAGTGACGTTTCGTTCACTGACTGTGATGAACACAGATCTACAATTTTTCTTGATCATGAACTGCATGGTTTTTGGTCACAGGTAGATGCGTTTATGTCTGATCCTAACATTCATTTCATGGTTGACTTTCATCGGAGAAACCGGTTGTGTTTACTACGTTGAAATTCGCGCAGGGGCTAAACTTGACCGGGACAACGACGATCGATCGCATCAACCATACGTGCCCCAGTTGAAAGCCGGATTGTACATCTGCAGAAATGTGGAACTCGACATGGGCTGGGTGAGATATTAACTTCGATCGATTTTCCTGAGGTAACGAAATGGAGATGTTGCATATGTGAGGAATTTGCGATTTGACTGTTGATTCTTACGTAAAAGTTCGAGAGAAACAAGATGGTGCCACTGGTTTTCTCTGAAATCAATCCCCAAGCTCAAAAAAATCTCTCAAGCCGAGGCCAAAATGGAGGGATATCCTACGCTATGCTGAAAGTCCACCTCTATACATCAAGACAAACTCTCCATGCAAAATTAGGGAGCAAATACATTGACAGGGCTGCCACTTTATTTGGGGCGACTCTGAAACTGAAAACACGGCAACCATCCTATTGTATTTGCTCCCTATCTTTGCAAGGAGAGTTTTTCTTGATGTAGAGGTGGATTCTCAGGATAGCGTTGGATATACTCTCCATTTTGGCCTCAACTTGAGAGCTTTTTTTGAGCTTGGGCGTTGATTTCAGAGAAGACCATTGGCACCATCGTGTTTCTCGCGATGTTTATGTTTGATGTTTTCTACATCAAGACAAACTCTCCCTGCAAAGATAGGGAGAAAATACATTAGCAGGATTGCCGTGTTATCAGTTTTAGAGTCCCCAAATAAAGTGGCACCCCTGTCAATGTATTTGCTCCCTAATTTTGCATGGAGAGTTTGTCTTGATGTAGAGGTGGACTCTCAGGATAGCGAGGGATATCCCTTCCATTACGCCATCAACTTTGAGAGCTTTTTCTGAGCTTGGCAGTTGATTTCAGAGAAAACCAGTGGCGCTATTGTGTTTCCTGCGAACTTTTACAGAATAATCAATAGTCAAATCGGAAATTCCTCACACATGCAACATCTCCATTCGATAAAACAAATGCACCAAAATACACAAATATCAATGGTGGTGAACCCAATATCAATGACAAAAGCTGCCATGATAGTGAAGAGAGCCGGAAGAGCAAAACAGAAGTTCTGAACAAGTGGGCTCAGAGGCGTCTGACCGAAATATTTTATTGAAAGGAGCCTCCGTTCTGTTTAAATTGCCACCAATCATGCGACAGACTCCTAAAAATCGTTTGGATGATTAAAAATCGACCGATTTCATTTTAAGTACAGGAAAAAGGTATTATTCGTTTTCATGTTGGGCTAGTATTTAGCAAGACAGCCTTGAGTGCTATCCTCGGCATGCTTTCGTGGTTGTGTTTAGGACACTAAAGGTGATTTGACGGTTGCCATTATACAGGGTGATCCAAAAGTCCCTTCCACCCCCTCTAACTTTTTACCTAATTGAGGTAAAGATTTGAAACTTGGGGGATATACCTAGGTCAATGGGAGCTACTTTTTGGCCCCCCTAAAATTTTCAGGGGGGCTCCCCTTGGGGGGCAACGGCCCCCAACTTTTAATTTTCAAATGGGAAGACCCCCTTTGTGATAGCTCGTTCGAAAGAGCATAAAAAAAGAAAACTTTTCGCGCAAACCCGAAGTCAATATCTCAAACCGTTTCAAAATGGCGGCCGGTTAAAGTTCAAAATGGCCGAAAATTCACACCGGTTATTTGTCGATGGATTTGCGCGAAAATCGGTATGTAGGGGTATTTTGACACGAGAAAAACGAATTTGACGTTAGATTTTCAAAAAAAACCGAAATTTCCAAAATGACCGCCGGTTAAAGGTCAAAATGACCAAAAATTGATTTTTTTAGAAATCTAAGTTCAAATTTGTTTATCTCATGCCAAAATACTCTCAAATTCCAAGTTTTAGGCAAATCCATCAGCAAATAACCGAGGTGACAATTTTCGGCCATTTTAAACTTTAACCGGCGGCCATTTTGGAAATTTCGGTTTTTTTTGAAAATCTAACGTCAAATTAGTTTTTTTCGTGTCAAAATACCCCTACATACCGATTTTCGCGCAAATCCATCGACAAATAACCGGTGTGAATTTTCGGCCATTTTGAACTTTAACCGGCCGCCATTTTGAAACGGTTTGAGATATTGACTTCGGGTTTGCGCGAAAAGTTTTCTTTTTTTATGCTCTTTCGAACGAGCTATCACAAAGGGGGTCTTCCCATTTGAAAATTAAAAGTTGGGGGCCGTTGCCCCCCAAGGGGGGCCCCCCTAAAAATTTTAGGGGGGGCATAAAGTAGCTCCCTTTGACCTAGGAATATCCCCCAAGTTTCAAATCTTTACCTCAATTAGGTAAAAAGTTAGAGGGGGTGGAAGGGACTTTTGGATCACCCTGTATGTGTCAGAGTGACGTGCGATATATCTTATCAATTCGTTTCATAATTTCAGCTACTTATCATTTTTTTCGAATTTTAAGATCATATTTTCAGGTTAGAAATGGGCTGAAGAGAGCGGAATTTAACTTAAAAGTACTCTTTTCATTGGCACTCTGGAGAAAAAATGTCACTTATTGCTGTTTTGCCTGAAACTACGCCATTTTTTGTGCACTCATGACTTGCTCGTATGTCTCGTTTTCTTCAAAAAATACGATGAATTTTGCTGTATTCAGTGGTTCTGTGATTTAATTTAAAATAAATTGGAGGGATTTCGAAGGAAACTCTATTTTGAAAATGTGTTAAAAACTTATCGTATTATTCTTATTATCGAACAAAAATTCGTGAAAATTTTAGATAGAATGTCGAGTTTGTCGAATGCGATTTTAAACAGGTTATTCAAAATTCACGCACCACTGGCCTTGAGGAGAGTGGTCATTTGAAATTTTTGAGTAGCACCCTCCTCCTCCCTCGGAGGGGATCAAAAACTGGAAAGCGCCTAAAAAAGTTTCCCTCTCGATATGAGGAAACACGTCTTAAACCGCAAATCGATATCATAATTAGAACTAATGTTATGGCCAGTGTTGCGTGAATTTTGAATAACCCTGTATAGTGGTAAAATTGCGACAAGATTGAGGATAATTGCTGAGATGTTCATGATCCTGGCAATCTCATCGCCAAAAAATCGGAAAGAAAACGAAACTCAATTTCAAAATATTGTGATTCTTCCGTTGAAAAATGCTACTTAGGATAACGTCACATTTTGGGAATCAGTTGATATGTTTCTTCCCTGCGGGCCGATTATTGAAACTGATAGACAAAGCGATACACAAAGAAGACATAGGGAGTATAGAGAGATCCTATTGGTTGACATGGTTGGTTCTTATAGACTAAGGAAGAAAATGATGGACTAACTGTCGGGTCTTTGGTGGGTTGCCGTTAGTCAGTTCATTACCTATCTCCTATGTCCATTGCCACCACCCGCTTCCACCAGTAGGATCCCTCCAAATCCCTTTTGTCGTCTTTGTCTATAGCTTTGTCTATCAGTTTCAATAATCGGCCTGCTGGAGTGAAAGTTTTCCTCGACTTTGCAGAAAGGTATCTGGTGCGAATCGGTAAATGCGGCTCAACGGCAGTTGATCTACGAGCAGGCAACGTTCTTCACGGCCTACCGTCCCGAGTTCGACATCGGGCAGACCATCTTCCTCGACAAGCGGGACATGATCGAGCCCCCCACAGTCATGTCCGTCGGGTTCCACCCCGACTCCCCGGACTCGCCAGGCATTGACGCCTTCGCCCATGCCACCGACAAGATCGTCGAGCAAGTAGAGTTTCTCAGGTGAAAAGATCGCTCCTCCTCCCCCCCCCCCCCNCACAATGGATAGAATTAATGTACCACTAGACAAGGTACGAATTTCAGCATTCTGATACATGTTTCCTCACCAAAATTTAACGTAAAACACGATGCGCATAACGAAAATTACCGAAATCAACTCCTTCTAAAGACATTTAATGATTCTTGGTGCGTGAATTCAAACCACCCGCTCATGAAAACTCAATGGTCTACGTGATTCACATCGTGCGCTAAACGTTATCATGAACGTCTCTGCGATAAAAAAATCTGGCAACCTCAACCTTGACACTTGGCTCAGCTATAGAAAATTACTTATAGTTTGAAAAACACATGGTGGGAAATGAACATTGCTCGATGGAGAAGCTTCCTGAAACCTTTGTACCTAGTGCGCGATTTGACTCACGTTTTTTCTCGTAAACTCAAAATTTCTAAAAACTTTCTAACAGATTCCTCGTAACCAATGTGAAATAAAAATGTTAATAGCTTCGTTAGGAGTTGGTTTTAGTAATTTTCGTTGCGCAAATTGTGTTCTACGTGAAATTCTGGTTAAGATACATATATCAAAATGCTTAAACTCGTACCTTGTCTAGTGGTCCATTGGAGGCGTCGGACAAAATTTGGAAACTTTAAACGCTCATTAACTCCGTTTATACAGAACTTAGAGGTTTATGTAAAAGTGGCTTAATTGGTTTCCTCGTGAAATTTTCTTCTGGAATCACTCCTTAAAATTTGAAATGCGACGGAATTAACATCAAAATTTGCAGTGTTAGTCCGAAAAACCATGTCCGACCTCTTCTATTGACTCGATCCACGGTGCGCCGCCGCTGGTTGAACTGCTCCCCTAAAATGGGTCAATTAACATTGTTTTTTTATCTAATGTCCTCCGGGCTGATTATTGACATTGATAGACGAAGCTATAGACAAAAAAGACATAGGCAGTATGGAGCGACCCCATGAGTTGACATGGGTTGTTCTCATAGACTGAGGGAATGATGAACTAAGTATGAGGTCTCTCCTGAGTTGCCGGTAATTAGTTTATTACCTCTACTCCGTCATTGTCCATTGAAAAAACCTGCTTCCGCCAATTCCATATCCCTTTTGTCCTCTTTGATTATCAATTTCAATGATTAGCCCGAAGTAAGTACCAGCGAACTGATTACTGAAATTGATTGAAATTTCCCATACCAGAAAAAAAATAATAGAAAATACTGTGAAATCAGCTCTTTAAGAACTTTCAAATGAAGCACTTAAACATTTGTATGAAAAATCTCCATTGACAGCAACAAGAAAAAATGTCCCAAAATGTGACGTATGTAACATATCCACGTCCTGGTTTCCCTCAGGAGAGCCTCCTGCTTGCCGTTGGATTGGGACGAAGACGTTTTCAGGAATTTCCTGGACTACGTGATGTGCAACGACGTCATGAAATGCCTCTTCAATCAGCCCGACGTCGTGATAGGAGACATGCTCCCAGCGGTGGCGGATGCTGTGAGGAGGATCAACTGGATTCACGGAAAGCACTTGAAACTAAAGAACCGGGTGAAGAAGGTACGCAGGTAGGCTTTTGCTTCTCATAACTTCACTTCCGCAACCAGACGCATGGGTGGGTGAAACTTCAGCGACTTTAAGTGAGTGATTTTCAGCTAAGAGGGATTTCTGCAATGATGGTTCCTCAGAGCATGGGAGTCGAAAATGACATCGTAATCGACGTCATGACCGAACAGCTAAGGGGCACTCCATAAATGCACTGAAAAAAAAGAATCTTAAATTTGCCGCCAAGAAGTATTTCTTCTTAAATCAAGAATTTTGCTGGTTAATATAAGCTACTTTTTTGCTCAACCCAAGCATTATTTTCCTTGAATCAAGAAAAAGTCAGCTAAAAGCAAGATAAAGAAAATTCTTGGCGGCAAATTCAAGAATTATCATGCTTGATCCAAGCTACTTTTTTTTCGGTGTGGAGATGTTGCATGTGTGAGGAATTTGCGATTTGACTGTTGATTCTTAAGTTGAAGTTAGCGAGAAACACGCTGGTGCCACTGGTTTTCTCTGAAATCAAGTCCCAAGCTCAAAAATAGCTCTCAAGTTGAGACCAAGATGGAGGGTATATCCAACGCTATCCTGAGAGTCCACCTTTACATCAAGACAAACTCTCCATGCAAAGATAGGGAGCAAATATTCCTGGGAAGTATTCCTGCACTCTAGTAGGCGCTAATATGCGGTTTGCACCGACCAGCGACCGCACTGTGTTTGGCGCAATGCGTGAAGTATTCCTGCAATCTTGTAGGCGCTAATATGCTTCGGCATCTTCCTTGATTGCCCGGGAGCAAAACTCTTCCGTCAAGACGTTGCGTTGCGTGCCGGATTCAGAGTACTCCCTGCTTAACTTTGGTGTTACTCTACGATGACAGCACGATCGTGTACACACAGAGAAAAATTTCAACACAAAAGTTTGGTGAATACGGGAAGTAACACACAAAATAACTCCAGCTTTCCGATGAAAATTTCAAGACAAATTCCTCCCAGGAGGAGACGAGAGGGACGCCCGGTGAAAGGGTGGCGACACGGGGTTTTAGAAGTGAGGCGGGAGTGCCAACTCCCTGATCGGTTGTGGGAAAACCGAGTTTCGGGCGGTTGGGCGGCGTAACACACCGCCAGAGAGCGCTAAAAGAGCGACTCTTGTGTATTTATGAGACGATTGGGCGTATTTACGCTAAATGGAACCATGTTCAAGTGGAAAGATGGGTTGTGTTCGTTAGTTGAGGGCCATAAGAATGAATGGGAAATATAAAGGGCCAGTGACGTCAGCGGCAACGACGGGAGCGACGACGAAATGCAACGCGGTCTTCAACTCATGAGCCCTGTCCACAACGCTTTTGTAACATACCTACGGCTCACGAGTTAGCGCTCAGTTCCTATTGATATAATGTCAAATCCCGCTTTTCCATTTTCTCAAAAGAAACTATATCCCTTGACCACATTGTTTCTTATGCAGCTTGCACGAGCACACCCTTCTTTCCCCTTGCACATAGTTCATTTTAGCATATATACGTCAAATTGGACGTATTTCTGTCAAACGGAACTAAGCGCCAATTTGAGTTCCTTTTCAGGAATTTAGAATGCCGGATAGCGCGTTCTGTCAAACGGAACTAAGCGCCATGGAAAAGCATTGAGAGCATAGGACGAAATGATCCCGACGCCAATTCAAGCCTCCCTCCAACTTGCTCACCCTATGGCGCATAGGTCCGTTTGATAGAAATACGTCCATTTTAGCATAAATACGTCCAATTATTGATTGAAATATTTCTTGTATTAATTTTATTATTTTCAAGGCCATTAACCTACTGAGAAGCATGACGCGCTCAGGCTCCGACAGCGACGAAGACCTGCCGATCCCCTCCATGGCGCAGTTGCGGGAATTCATCAAACTCATGGTCAACAAACTCCTCGATCCGTGCGCCTTCTTGAAGTTCACCGAGAGACGCGCCGACCGACTCCGGGTCAACAGCAACTGCAGGTTCTACTGCCGGTTCTTCAGCACGGCCACCGACGTGTTCGGCCCGAACGTCCCGCTGCAATGCACCTACCTCGTCGGCGGAACGTGCTCCGAGAACGTCTGCGTCTGTGAGCAGGACGTCAAACTGGCCGTCAAGAAGGACCCGGTTTATTCCGGGAAGGTTAACATGCTCTTGTGCGCTAATATATTCAGACGCAAACTCAATAGGATCGATTTGCCAATAGACTCTACTTTGCCGACTAGAAACTACAGCCCTGGTTCTGAGTCGTCTTCTTTTAAGGAGTTTGTCTCTGACACTGATGGCACACCAAAGTCGAACCTCCACCCTCAGTCTAAACCTACCCCTAGGGCTCAATCTCCTCATAGGGCTCAACCCACCCCCGAGGCAAAATCCACCCCTGGGGCTCAATCCCCGCCTAGGGCTCAATCCACCCCTGAGACTCAGTCCCCGCCTAGGGCTCAATCCACCCATAGGACTCAATCCCCCCCTGGGGCTCAATCTACCCCTAAGCCTCAGTCCACCCCTAGGGCTAAGCCTACTCCTGGAACGATCAACGGTCCTAAACCTAAACCTAAACGTCGAGCTTTGTATAAATCCCTTCCTGCCACTTCTCTCCGAACCGCTAAAAATTCTCTCAAACGCCTCACGCCTTACCTGGCAAAAGCGTATAAATATGTTTCGGATGTTAAGCTTCGCTATAGCAAGACTCAAGACGATGAAACGCCTAAGTAAGTGAATGCATCAATGATTGAACCACGCAGTGGAAAAACGAGAAAAAAAGTTAGTAAAATTGTGGGAAAAAAAGGAGTAAAATTGCGTTGAGCCTGGCATAATTTGGTATTTTGGTGTGCATAATTGTCGATATTTTAGTGGATTCTTTGGACTAGGAAGGTGACTGAGATGCTGATTGATGCAACACTACAGTTACGACCATTCAGGAAGGCAACTGCAATCGTGTTTCGGGTCCGATTGGGCCAATCCTTAGTGCAACGTAGCTTCCAGTTTTATCTGCTCATTATTTATTTTCTTCGTGTCATATTTCATGTTTAATTAAATGATTGCTAGACTTTTTGAAATGTATGATCTATATAAGTTTGTAAACTATAACATTGACAGCTTGCAGCATCCAAGTGTAAGGGCATTTTTAAGTGTTACTGAATTCTGATGTTATTGCACTGGTTATACATCTGGTTACATTGCACCCAAATGTGGAAGAAGGTTTAACTTATCTTCTAAGATTCTTTCATGAATACTTTGAATTAAGTTTGGTCGGCCACATAAGTGGAGCAATGAAGATTTACGAGAAAATTGAAATCTCTCAGCATTTTTGCGACAAACAGACAAAATTCAGAGGCTGAGCTGAAAAATTATAAAGGATACTGCTCAACTTTTTCATGCGCAGATGCAACGTGGCACTGATGAAAAGAATGCTAGGAAGAATGAGAGGGTGAGAGGGAGGGGGGGGTCATGTCCTGTGTCGCTTCTGATTGCAAGCAAAATGTACATTTACCTTTTTTGCTGGCAAAGATTCCTTCTGATAACGCCGACTAACGCAGAGATTTTTTGTATCTACGAACTTGAAAAATGTTTCAATTTTTTTCATTTATCATGAAAAAACGGCAAAAAAAGGCCCGAATGAAGTTACCCAAATGTTTGACGTTCACCTCTCTTCTGCCTCAATCAGCTGAGGGAAATATATTATTTTCCTATGATTGCGGGGAAGGGGGCGAAACAAAAATCACACCTTAAATAGATTTCGTTTAGCTTTAATCGATTCAGAGAAATTTAAAAGTGTAATTGAGTAATTCTCAGCAAGAGGGCACTCGTGTGCAGCATGCGATGGAGATTTTTCCTCGATAAAATGAAAATTAAAAAAGTCATCATCGTCCTTATTTGGTGGATGAAATTAGAGTACCTACAGGGTTATTCAAAAGTTACATTCTGTAACTTACCGAAAATTCATTTTAATTTGTTTTTTGTTTTTTGATTGCAAAGGAGGTCGGCAGTTCGTACAGCAAGATATTTCTAATATTACAACTAATTATGATGAAAATCTAGCGCAGGGGAGAAAACTTAACAAGAGATTTCTGTACTGTGAGCTGATAATGTTCTGCTAAATTTCTTATTTTATGTTAAAGTCTTACTGAAAGACGGCTTTCAGCCAACTTACTTTGGGTCTTATTCTGTAACTTACCAGAAATTCCTTTTTATTTTGTTTCTTGATTGGTGCGTATTTTACTTAAAAGATTCCTAAATATTTTAAAAGTTCGCTAATTATCAATGATTAATCTTGTTTTCGGGCTCATACCCGCACGCATAATATTACAAAAAATGAGAAGTTTTTTTGTGCAGAAGAGGAATGTGGCATACATAAATTATCAAATTTAAGTAACTTGATGAGGCATTGCATTGAATATCACGGTTATGCTAGGTCAGCAACTGGTAGCCAAGCTGCAGCACAAGACTATGCAAGTATGAATGATCCAAGGGAAATGGATGATGAAGTTGCTCAACACGATTGTGCAAGTATGGATAATCCAATGGAAATGAGCGATGAAGTTGCTCACATTGATCAGATGACACATCCTTTACAGACATCCTCTACATGTGAAGATAAACCGAAAAACCTTTGTCCCCTAAACCAAGGGGAAGTAGATATATTTGAATCCAAACTCTGTGGAAATCCTAGAATAACTCGTAAACAAGTCCAAGAAATTATTCGTTCCTCGCAAAACTTATTACAGTGTATAGAGAATGTCCTAAAGCAGCCCATATTAGAATAATTACAAGCAACAAACGCCGGCCCAGATTTCATTGGAAAGATACCCTTGATTCTCTTGAAAAACTTTTGGAAGCTGTACGCTCAGAGCATATAAGGCTAAAAACTTTCCAAGAAGAAGGCACGAACATTGAGCCGATTAACGCTGGAGCAGTTACCTCTCAAGGTGAACACTCGCTGGAAATGGTGACATTTACAACTCTTTGTATTCCTCTAAGACAATCTCTGAAAATATTTCTTTCTCAAGTAGAAGTGATGCCAATAATTCTAGATATTCTAAAAGAAGTAGGCGACGAAGAGCATTTTTTTTCACATTAAATGCATGCACAAGCTTGAAAAACATATAAAACTGGTTGTCAGTCTCAATTCGTCCACCCTCTTTTCTGCTATATTCAGATGAGTTCGAATGTGGCAATGCATTAGGGTCCCATAAATGCATACGCAAGATAAACGGCAATTACGTGTGTATGCCTTTTCTTCCATTCCACTTAGCATATACATTTCAGAATATTTTAATGGTGTGTCTGCCATCACAGTACGGATAGCAACATTTTTAGCAACAAAAAATTGAATCAGTGCATTTTTGATGAATTTACATAGGTACTTAAATGAAGAAGGCATTTATGTCGAAACGCCTTTTTATACAGGCTCAGTCTATTTGAAATTGGCTTTGTTTTGCAAATACAATTTGGGCTTGCAGCAAATGTTAGGATTCATCCCCGGGTTCAAGGCTAATTTCCCGTGTCGTTTTTGTAAAATCCATAGGGACGCTATGAGAGGTTATAGGACATTTCGTCAACGATTTTTTGTCCGAGCGCTTGTTTCTTCCAGTAGTTTAAGTCCGCGCGTTTTTTCGGCTGGGGAGTTTTGGTCCACTTACCAATTATTGAGACTCAAAGTTAATTGGTCTACATTTAAATACAAACAACATTTGCTCACGACGTTTTTGGATGAAATGTATAATGTCTCGGAGGAATGAGGGTTTGCTCGTTTTTTGCTTGTTTGGTTGGCCAAACGGAGACAAAAATATAATTGAGAATTTTGGCGTCAATTCCAAGAGGGAAAATTCACTAAAACTCACAACACCTCTTTGGTGCAACAGGACTTAATTAACTTTCAAGAAAATCTCATCTTCTTGTACCTGAACTGGATGAACCTCTCGATTTTTCTCAGCTAAAGGCTCTTACATTTTTTCTGTGTACGATAACTTCCCGACGGCGGCTCCGACGTGCCGCGGCGCTTCAAACTACTATTTCGCCATGAAGGTGTTGCACAGTATCTTTCAATATTGAAGGCACCCCAATGTATCATGATTGATGGCATCTTTCAAAAGCACTGAAGTTCCTTCGCGAATTAAATCGAGTGACGACGAAAAAAAGAAAGCTGTAGTCGAAACAAGTTGGTTTTTGCAATCGCTAGCGATAGCAATATTCGTCATGGGAACTTTTGCTTCTGGGATATGAAAATGTTAAGGTACAGTTCGTTTGTAGTATCTTCAGAATTGAAGGGGCTATGTAATTTTGTGTCGACATCTCTTTTTTAACATTTTTAATTTTTTTTCTTTGCATACAAGAAAGCTGTTATTTACCAATTATTTATTTTCGTTGGATTATGTATGGTTTTTGGAAGTTAACGCATTTAACTTTCAGTTTCGTTTTTTCGGCGTAAAGTATGATATTTTTACTCTACGCATATGCCCGAATACGCATCATAACGACGGTGAAACTACCAAACCACGTATCTCGTTTGCGGTGTTTAAAAATCTCCGCTCACATTTTATTTTTTTGAAGTAGACCAAATCAATATCATTCCTTGAAATTTTCACAGAATTTTCTCCGCACGAAGAGGAAAAATCACGGAAATTTTCAAGACTGGACGTTAAGTAGCTTTTCATTTAAAAAATAAAGTATGACAGGAAGTCTGCGACGTCGCAAACCGAGATACGTGGTTTGGTAGTTTCACCGTCGATAAGTGACCTATGTGCTTCCTAAGTTGCCATTTTTTTCATTCAAATAGATGTAACCGAAATGTTAGATGTGTACTACCTATACTACTTTCATGTCATTGATTTATTTATTTATTTACTTTTTGCGTAGGTATAAATTGTTATTTTTTGCTGAATTTTGGAGAAAATATTGCTTTAAGAACGTGGAATGTAAATTAATTTTATTGAAAAAAGAAAATACCATCATTAATTT